GGTGTAAATACTTTCAATTTTTCAATATCATATCCATAAGTTGTGAGTACTCCAGTTGGTAGATCTTCTTGATGAGCAATTAAAGCTAATTCATTGTCGATAGTTTTAATACATTCTTTTATTTCATATTCTGGTTCATCGGATGCAAGAAGTGCCAATTTTGCCAATGACAACATAGACTATTAACAGAATGATATAAACTTATTTTCTAATATACAAACTTTATAAAAAAAAATTAACAAATACATACTTTTTTACGTGTTACTAATTCAATTTCTTGAATTGCTAACGAGTGAAGTGTATTAGCTGCAAATCTTAATTCATCAGTCAACACTGCTTGTACCCAGGATAAAGTAGGATGCTCGGATAATTTTTCTGCTAATTCAATTGAACAACCACGTCTACATCGTTCTACCAATTGTCCTTGTCGTCCATCTTTCACGTACCTTTATTTTTAATTATTACACGTTTTAAATATTGAGATTATTCTAAAAAAAAACGGATAAGAATAGTCAAAGATATATTTACCATGAAAATAAAAAGCCTGCAAAATCTTGTGAAGCAAATTTATCTATGTAACTGTCAAGTCTATTTTTATTATTTGTTAATTCGCAAATTTGAATGAGTGATCCAAAATCACAATATTTTTCAGCAAGTATGGCAGCATTTTCATATTGTTCTTCCTTTACTAAAAAGAAAATATTACAAATTAATTTACACGCGTATTGTATCAATATAAAAGTATATATATATATATATACATATAAATTTATAATAATACTAACTAAGAGGTTGAATCAAACTCATTCTATCTGTTTCATATTGTTTTAAAAGTACTTCAAATTTTTCAGTACCACGAATACTTTCTAAATGACATTTCCTTCCATCTAATATTAGATCTATTAGACTGACCAGTTGTTCATATAATTCATTTTTAATTGTAGTATCATTCGTTCCAGTAACACCATGTTTTAAGGTCATATTATGCTGTGCACATTGAAAATGAAACAATTCATGAATACGTTCAAAGAATGACTCCTGAAAAAAACAATTAAATACACATACCATTGTGGTAAGACAATGTCTAAGACCATGTTTACCAGAAGCTGCAGTCCAAGGAAGATATTCTGTTATACCATTTGAACATCTTGTTGGTACGAAACGTTCAGCATTGTATTGTCGATATTTTACTACTTCGTTTAAAGTACCCTTGTTACAAAAATATACAGGTATGAAAAATTGTATAAAAAAAATAATATTAAAATGTTACATATGTGCTTACCAATAGTATAGAATTGACTTGCATTATATATTGTGCAACTTGGTGCGTTGGTCTTTCCGATAATGTGACTTCAGTTGCATTGTTTACTAAACAAGGTAAAAAGAAATGTACAGCACTTACTTCACGATAAAATATATCACGTGAAGTTAATTCTTCGGAGGCATATGTTTCAGGTTTCAATGTTTGTTCAATAATAGAATCAATAAGCTCTGGATTCCTTAAAAATAATAATAAATGTTATATATAGATCAAATATAATTTTATTTTTGATTAAAAATTCAATAGAAAAACATACCTATTTTGAAGATTATATATAGTCATAGCAGCAACTATTTTTTCTGCATATTCGCTAAGAACATGCGATGTAGACATAATTATTCCTCTGTATGTTACTGCACAAAACTTTATAAAAGATATCAAAAGTTATAATGAGATTAATCAATGTTTGTTTTGTAATACTTCAATTATAATTCAATTACTTACTCTATCCCATAAATTATGTTCTTTCAAAAATGATACAAATAAATCTAATGCTTTTTGTTTTCCTTCTAATTGATGAGGTATTTGAATAGCGGTAACAGCATTTATTGTTATAGCTAAACAAACAAACAAAATAATTATAAAGTTTAATGACTTTACATAAAAATGAGATAAATTACAAAATAATAATAATAATAATTACATAAATCCCTATGGTTTGCCCAACGTGGATCATTCGCTGGATAATCATCAATTAAATCTTTTGCAACTTTCAAAGCCAGTGTATCAAGAATTGCATCAATGTCCATCACAGGTTCTTCTTGCAAAGGAAATAGTTGTGTTAAAATTTCTTCACATTTGGACTAAAAAATTAAATATTTTATGTTAATATATTTTCATAACTAATCTAATTTGTTACAATATTATTTTCACATTATACCTTATTTTGACGTAAACTAAGTAAGAAGGCAGCTCTTAATTGTGTGACACCATCAGAACTATAAAACATATCTTGCAATTCATCGTTACTTGTAAGTACAGAAAAATTATTTGTTGTTTGATCATTTTTATAACTATAATCTATAGAAGAATTGATATCTGTATAATTCCTGTAAATAATAATTACAAATTATTATTAGATATACATAAATTATTAAACATATACAAAGAAAACGAACGTGTTAAAATCTTGCGATGAAAAATCTGTTGGTATAATAGAAACAAGTCCAATATTTTTAGTAAATAATACTGGTGTTCCAGAACATAAAGCTCCTCCCAAAATACTGTCTTCTTTATCTCGAATTAATTCAATTTTATCTTGGTCATGTTCAGAAGCACCTACAAAATAAATATAATTAAATCTTTGAATAATTTTACATATATATATATATAATTTGTAACATGTAATGGTATTATAAAAAGTACTTACAATTAACTACAATAACATGATCTTGATTATATATAATTGCTTCCCAACCACACAGTATGAAACGATAAGAGAGTAAAATTGTTTCCATATCAACATTATAGAAGGCAATATAATCAAATTTCACAGGTATAAACCATTTAAAACTATTCCCCATAGATGCACCAGACAATGGTATCAATCCTACAAGAACACATGATAAATTACAATATAAAATTAAAGAATGAATAATAAAATTGAACAATATAAATGTTTTTACCAAGAGCAAAATAAATTTGCATAGAAATGTCAGCACAATGAGCTGCCATTAGAAACACTATTCCTTCTTCACAAAATTGCATATCAATTAACCAAGTGTCCATACTTTGTGGATTACATGCACTTGATTCCTATGAATTAAAAAATATTAATATATTGGCAAATAATAATTAATTAATAACAATTAATGAAAAACTCATTGATTCTAATTCTTACCCAAACTTTTCTTTGAAAAGCTTGTGAAACCATATGGCTAATATCTTCATCAAACTCCATTTTTTCTTGTTCATTATGTGGAAATGACCAATATTGTAATGATAATCCAGCAAGAATCAAAACCCTTGATCCTCTTTCTTCAAATCCTGAACATACGACTTTTACTAATTTCTAAAATAGAATCATTTATTTATTATATAAATTGTTACATTAATTTATAATCTTATTATCTATGTTTGTAATAAAAATGAATAAAAAATACCGTTTCAGCAGCTGGTGATTGTGGTATAGCTCCAAAAATAAGAGATGTCATTCTACGTCCAATACCACCCAACCATCCTTGACTTGTTCTAAGGACACGGCAAACAATACTATTTTTTCCACCAATAAATTGTGGTTGTAAAAGTGCTACTGTACAAGTTGTTGTTGCTAAAATACAACCATGTCCTGGGATATATGTTAAACAATTAACTTCTTGTCCAGCAAGTTCAGCACTTGTTTCTACGGATGATCCTTCATGAGCTATACTAGCCCAAAATCTCACAATACCTTCCGGTGAAACTGCCATACAACTTGGAACCTAATGATAATATAAACACACATTGTCTTTATTATCATTACTATTTATAACAATAGATAATATCTAAAAAAAAAAAACCTGTTGTCCTTGAGGTAACCACACGGCTATACATTCAGCTTTATGAGCGAGATCGCTTTGAGGTAACTGCAATTCTCGACATTGACTTTTATATATTCTTCTTTGTTTAGGATCATGTATTGTAGTTTTACATTGCCAAACTAAAATTCTACGACCACATATAAGCCAAGCCCATCCATCTGCAGATATGCTGACACTAACAGCTGTACTTTTATCAACAAATGTTAAAGCTTCTGTGACAAGAACAGGTAAAGCCGATCCAAAACTTTCGACAACATGACCCGGTGTTCTACAAATTATTTGTACAGACTGATTTGATCTCCCAGACATACTTAATCCTCTGAAATGGTAATATTTTATAATAAATACAAAATAATATCATTATTTAATTAATAAATATATTCAAAATTATACTTACGAACTATTTTTCTTTAAAGATTGTACTATTGACATTCTTTTTCTTGGAGAGTTGACACTTCTTCCCAAAGAACTTCCTGGACCTGTTCGATCCATTTTTATATTTATACAATATTTTTTGATTTATAAACATTAAAATTATGATCAAATGTGTTTATTTATTTTACGAGCTAAATTGAATTTTTAGGTTAGTTTAATTCGCGCTATAAACCGGCTGCACATGACTACATGTGTTTGGCACGAACTATGTATATTTATAATGGTCAACTGCATAAGTTTTAGAGAGAGGTTAAGGTTTTATATTTATTTCTATAAATAGTATAATCAAATAATACATTCATGAAAATATTTTGATCGTGAGAGAAGTATCATACATTTAATTCTTAATAAATTATTAATTATTTCAATATTAAATATATATATACATATTTAATTTTTAACTTGTCATTTTTATGTTTTGATAAAAAGATATTGCGAAAGTTGACGGAAAATCTACTTGCGTAGACAAACCATAGGCGGTTGTGTAAGTGGAAATGTCTCTGCATGAATATAGCAAAAAACGAAAGGTTGATGTTGTCTCTCTCTAACTCATGCGATACCGGGCGCATGCGCATTAGACTTGTCGTGCTTATTGTACAAGTATGTATACGATACCAGCTACCTTAACCTCTACTAGCAGACTAATGCGCATGCGCCGTTCAGCGCAAGTTAGAGAAAGACAACATCAACCTCACATGTTCTATCTCTTTTTATTTCGACGACAGGTTTTATGCTGACTTGTCTGCTCTATGTGTAGTATCTCTATGCTTGTCTGATAGTTTTTGAGAGAGAAAAATTGTTGGTAGATTGCATGTGAAAAGCACATGGTTAGTTTTATTATTTATAAAACAGTATTTTCAACTAGTACGGCTTAGTTAGCCGGTAAATATCATAATCAAGAGAATTATTGATTCAAAAATGGTTGACACTAAGATAGAATTAAATAATGGCGAAAATGTGCCTGAAAAAACTCCTAAGCAATTGCAAAAAGAAGCGAAAAAAATGGCAAAACTGGAAAAGTTTAAACAGAAACAAGAGAAAAAGATAACTGACAAACCGGTTAAAGTAAAAGAAACAACAGAGGTGAGAACATTCTGTCTTATATATCAATTATTTCATTAATTATTAAGTATATCTTTTGTTTCCATATGGTATTTATAATTTATATGGTGTATTCATTAATTATTTTATAATAAACTTAATTTATATATTCATTTAAATGTTTAATATTGATTTAAGACAAATAATAGAATTACATGAATATAAATGTGTGTTTGGATAACTCAATGAAATTGTAAGATTTCATCATCATGTTATATTCATTATTACATAAATCAAAGTGTTTATTATTAATTAATTATTCATTAATGTTATCTAGAAAATTGATAAGAAAAAGGATAGTAAGGATACTGCCTTATATACAATAGACACACCAGTTGGAGAAAAGAAAGATGTCTCTGGTACAATGCCTGACACATATAGTCCACAATATGTAGAGGCTGCTTGGTATTCCTGGTGGGAAAAAGAAGGATTTTTTAAACCTGAATATGGGGTATATAAACATTTAATATTATTATTATTATTTATATTCTATATTTTTTTTTTTGATCATTTTAATTATTAATTATTATAGAGGAAAAGTATATCAGATATAAATCCTAAAGGAAAGTTTGTAATGGTAATACCACCACCAAATGTAACTGGTTTTCTTCATCTTGGTCATGCGTTAACTAATGCCGTTGAAGATGCTATTACAAGATGGTAAACTTTTCTTATTTATGACTTTTTAAATGAAATTATATATTTAATTTAAATTTAATATATTTAGGAATCGTATGAAAGGATGCACAACTCTTTGGAATCCAGGTTGTGATCATGCAGGTATTGCAACTCAAGTTGTTGTAGAAAAGAAACTTTGGAGAGAAGAACAAAAAACTCGACATGACATTGGTAGAGAAAAATTCATTGAAAAGGTTTGGCAATGGAAATATGAGTACGTATAATAAATCATTAATTATGATTTAATAATTATCATCTTGAGAAACTATTATGTAATTATTTATTATTAGAAAAGGGGATAGAATTTATACACAATTAAGAAAATTAGGTGGTTCCTTTGATTGGGATCGCGCTTCTTTTACTATGGATCCAAAATTGTGTCGTGCTGTAACTGAAGCTTTCATAAGACTTCACGATGATGGTACAATTTACAGAAGTAGTCGTCTTGTCAATTGGTCTTGCAGTTTGAAAAGTGCAATATCAGATATTGAGGTGAATTTTTATAAGAATTATATTTGTTAATTATTTGTTAATATATTTGTATATTATAAACAATGTTTTGTAGGTTGATAAAATGGAATTGACTGGCCGCACTTTGTTGTCTATTCCTGGTTACAAAGACAAGGTTGAATTTGGTGTGTTAGTATTTTTTGCATATGAGATTGAAAACTCCACAGATAAAATAATTGTAGCAACGACTCGTATTGAGACGATGTTAGGAGATACTGCAATTGCAGTACATCCAAAAGATCAACGCTATATTAAATATATTGGACAATTTGTACAGCATCCTTTCTGTAAAAGAAAAATACCTATCATTTCGGATGAATTCGTTGAAATGGAGTTTGGTACTGGTAAGTTTAAACTTATTATATATTTTTTCACTTACTTAATTATTGTACAAATATTATTATTACAATTAATTAAATATAGGTGCTGTAAAGATAACACCAGCACATGATCCAAATGATTACGAAGTTGGTAAACGACACAATCTTCCATTTATCACCATCTTTGATGACAATGGAAATATTATTGGTGATTATGGAGAATTCACGGTATTTTACAGATATATTTTTTTGTTTGTTTGTTTACATATTTAACATTAATCAAGAAAAATTCTTTGAAAATAAATATATATTTTCAAACTTTCAGGGAATGAAAAGATTTGAAGCTAGAAAAGCAATTTTAAAAAGATTAAAGGAAAAAGAATTATTTATTGAAATAAAAGATAATCCTATGGTTGTGCCAATATGTAGTCGATCTAAAGATGTAGTTGAACCACTTATTAAACCACAATGGTAAAATTGATTATACAATTAAATTTTATATTCAGTATTTAAAATTCATTTTTCTCTAGGTATATTAAATGCGATGAAATGGCTAAGACAGCTATGAAAGCGGTACAAGATGGTGAATTAAAGATTATTCCTGAACAATATAAAAAGACATGGTATCATTGGATGGATGGTATCAGAGATTGGTGTATTTCTCGACAATTGTGGTGGGGTCATCGTATTCCTGCTTATCTTGTTAAAAATATAAATAACACTGTAAGTATAGAAAAAGCTAGAATATCTTTTTTTTAAAACTATAAATGAGATAAATTGAACAACATATTTTAATGCATAATACATTTTATTAGACAGATGACACGTATTGGGTTAGTGCACATTCTGAAAATGAGGCTAAAGAGAAAGCAGCTAAGAAATATGGTTTAAATATTAATGACATTATTCTTGAACAAGATCCAGATGTTTTAGATACTTGGTTCTCATCTGGTCTATTTCCATTTTCTATATTTGGATGGCCTGATAATGTAAGTAAATTATAACATATCACGATATTTGTTAGAAAACAAAAAAAAAAAAAAAGGAATTGAATTTTCTATAGAAATGATAATTTTGTACAGACAGAAGATCTGAAAGCTTTTTATCCAGGTACATTATTGGAAACTGGACATGATATATTATTCTTTTGGGTTGCTAGAATGGTATTTCTAGGACAAAAATTATTAGGAAAATTACCTTTCAAGTATGTATTATTATACATATTTATAAATTAATCATAAATCTTTATAAATGTGTTTCAACAGGGAAGTATATCTACATGCAATGGTAAGAGATGCTCATGGAAGGAAAATGAGTAAATCTCTGGGTAATGTAATTGATCCTATGGATGTGATTAAAGGAATATCTTTGGAGGTATTTTATAAAATTTAGTATGACAGTATAAATGATATTTAATTATAAGAAGGTTATTAAAATGAATATCTTTTTTTTACAGAATCTTCATAAACAACTGTTAGATTCAAATTTAGATCCAAATGAACTTAAACGAGCTATCGAAGGACAGAAACGGGATTATCCACAAGGCATACCTGAATGTGGAACCGATGCTTTACGATTTGCTCTTTGTGCTTATACTACACAAGGTCGTGATATCAATCTAGATATTCTTCGTGTTCAAGGTTACAGATTTTTCTGTAATAAAATTTGGAATGCTACGAAATTTTCATTAATGTATTTAGGTACTGAATTAAATTATGATGAACCTCAATCGGTAAGTTGATAAATTGTTTTAAAGATTCATTTACTAATATATATATACATATATTAATATATAATTTTATTTATTTAGAATGGAATTGGAATGATTGGTGATAACAATTGGTATCAATCAACTTTAAATGAAACATGCATACAAGATGCATTAAATCATTATTTAGAAGATTATCCATATCTCGATGGATATACACCATCTCAAGCTGATGTTAAAACTCATAACATTTTCAATTCCATGGATGTTCAATTTTCAAATTATCCACATTTACATCGTTGGTATAATCACATGAAAACCTTTGACGAACATGAAAAGGCTGCTTTTCGTATTGAACAAAATACAATGCTACCACAATGTACATGTAAAGATCATAAAAATAGTAATAATAATTCTCAAGTAAGCATTCATATTTTATTCATTTTTTTTATAATCATGCATTCCTTTTTTTAAATATAATTTTATACAATTGATAAATTATTAAGAAACATTTACAGTTAACTGGTAAAGAAACAAATGTTGATTTATGGATGCTTTCAAGAGTAAGTTATGCTGTTAAAACTTGCAATGAAGCTATGAAACAATATGATTTTACAACTGCAACAACCGCGTGTTATAATATGTGGTTATATGATTTATGTGACGTTTATTTGGTAAGCATTTTGTATAAAATACTTAAAAAAAAAAAAAAAAAAAGAAAACATAATTAATTTTTGTTCAAATAATATTATAATAAGAAATATTGTTTGTAGGAATACCTCAAGCCAATATTTCAAAGTAATAATAATGAAAGTAAATTGCAAGCAAGAAAGGTTTTATTCAAAACTCTTGATGTTGGATTAAGATTATTACATCCTTTCATGCCATTTATAACGGAAGAACTTTATCAACGTTTGCCTCGTAAAAAACAATCATATCCAAGCATATGTGTTAGTCCTTATCCTGAAATTATAGAGGTAATGATAATAACAGTATTATATTGTATTCAATATTATTTGAAACTTGTATCGGTATTTTTAATAATATTTATTTATTTTTTTTAGTGTCCGTGGAGAAATCATGAAATAGAAAAAGACATTGATTTTTCGCAAAAAGTAATCAAAAATATAAGATCAGCACGAGCAACTTACAATCTACCAAATAAATTAAAAACTGAGGGATATCTCAAGTGTGACGATCACGTATTAATAAATAAAATTGTGAAATATCAAAGTTTAATAGAAACTTTGGCATATTCCACAATTAGCTTAGAGAAACCTCCCTTGGGTTGTGCTATTGTTACAATAACTGATAAACTTCAAGTACATCTATTGTTAAAGGTATTTATAAAATGATATATTACTTATATATTTATGTGGGACGAGCTCCTCCTCCATGTCAAACTTATTGGACATTTGTGAGAAGGATTGGTCAATGGGCTCTGGATAGCTCAATTGGTTAAAAGAGCGAAAGGATCTTCGTGGTTCGAGTCCCAGTCCAGTCGGTCCAATTTTTGTCACGAATTCCACATTTATGATTATATACAAAATGTGCAATAATAATAATAATAATAATACTTGTTCTTTTACACAGGGTTTAATTGATCCAAAAAAAGAATTAGAAAAACTTAAGAAGAAAGAAATACAATTAATGGAAACCGTACAGAAGATCAAACAAGCTATGTCCGTTAATGATTATAATAATAAAGTACCACTCGATGTACAAAAGAGTAATGAAGACAAATTGACTAACAGTGAAGGAGAATTACAAAGAATAGCTGATGCAATAACAGCTGTACAAACTATCTAAATAATATTTATATACAATTTTTTTTCTAGCCTTTGCAATTTATCTATGTATTATTTATTTATTTGAACATTTAATTTCATAATGAAATAATCTTAGATAAATGAGTTACACTCTATTGGATAGAAACAAGTCCATATGCTCTTGTATATTCCTTAAGTAATAGTAAAAGCTCATTTATATATGCATACAATCTTTGGTCAGGTACTGAAGAGCTTTATATATTTTTTTTTTCATATAATCCATCAAATATGTAGAGAAGAAGAACAAACAAAATGTTCTCTTAAACTCAACGCAATTTGCGTTTCGAAAAAGTATTAAAGTAAATACTAGGAAATTTAACCTTTGCTTACCATTTCACCCTTCCTGGAGTAACACGCTTACCACACTCGGGTCCTTTGGATCCGAGCAAGAAAAATCATTATAAAAAAGAAACTATTGCATAGATTTACTTCAATATTTTATTGAGATTTCTTTAATACTTACTTAAAAAGACTATATAAGTTTTATAGCATTAAATTAAATTTAAATATGTTGAAAAAATTCTCAAAGTTGAGTACAATTGAGAAAAATGAGTTGCAAAAAAGGTCTGGGTGATCTTTTGGATCCAAGTGTGCTAAGCAAAGGTTAATAATATCATATATTTATAACATATTTATTACTTTACAACAACAACAAAAAAGAAAATACGTATGTATAAACCTGGGCCAAAGGTATTTTTCAAAAATAAAAATGAATAAAATAAAATATTATTAAAAAATGATTAAAATATGTATATGTTGGAATTCATTATTTTTGATTGATTTCACAAAACAAATTAGAAGAATGAATTTATATTTATTGTTTTTCTTTTTATACCTTTTTTTTTTTTTTTTATTTATAAAGCATTGCCAGTAAATGTGTATAACGATTATTAAAATTGTTATAATGAAGAAAATCTAAGTAAAAATTTAAATAATAAAATTGATTAAATTTAATTTGTTCTTCTGCTTTGATACATTTCTACCAATATTATCTGCAGCTAAGTTAACTTACAAATGTGCTTATTAAAAATAATACATTTACAACATAAAATTATTCTATTAAAGATTTATATATATAACATATAATAAACTATTATATTGAATAATTAAATTATTGTAATATTTAACTATATAAAATAACAAATATTTCTCATCAAAAAAAAAAAAAGAAAAAACAAACACATTTCGAAATTTTTCAAATATGTTATTACTACGTGTAAAATGATTCATTATTTATAATATACGTTGTATATATATATATATATATATATATATATATATATATATATATATATATATTTTATATGATTAAATTATTACATCACTATAAATCTCACTTCATTAGAATAAATCTTAAAATATAAATTGAATAATTTTTATGATTTTTTTTTATCGTATAAAATTCAAACTTTAAACTGATTGATGTATGTGTGAATTTGCCTTGCTCTTACAATGCTTGTTTCCCTGAGCTGATTTTGTTTATTTATAATACTTTTAGATTTAAATTCTTGAGGGTTTATTTATGAGAACGAATTATGTACATATTAAAAATGATTTAATTGTAGACAACAGAATAATAATAATAATAATAATAATAATAAAATTTTGTAGTTATGTACAAATAAAGCATTTTTCTTAAACAATTAGATTACAAGAAATGTTTTTTCATATAAACAACAAATATAATTTATAATTGTGCATCAGGATAGGAAAGATAATACTTCCTATCAATAAAAAGTAACAATATTTAATGTTCTAATATAATATTATTATAAACATTTGCATTGTTAATTATCTCTCCAAAGGAAAATATACAAATTATGCTGCAGATATATATATATATATATATATATAGCGATAAATAACAAAAACAGATATATATATATATATTTATAGAATATATACAATTATGATATGCGAATTCTAATGTTTATTATCTATTCAAATTTTGTCCAATTATTTTGTGATTTAACTGGTGTAGATGTGCCGAGCGATAAGCTAAAAGCATTATCCATATTTTTAATACTGTTTCCAGGTGCATTTTGTGTAGATACTACTGAAGAACTTTTTGTTGGCGATGCACCACCACCACCACCATTAGTTACACTAAATTTATCAAAATCTAAACCATATGCTTGTAATAGATCCAAATCACCAACACTATCAGAAGGTTTATGCGAATGTTGTACATCTTTTCCACTGTGTAAAGGTTGAAAATATGGATATAAAGGATTACTAAGACCTTCACCCATTTCTGGAATATGCAATGATTGTGTCATTTGTTTTGTATTTGAAAATACTGTAGATCTAGAGAGTAATGGATCAAAATCATCGTTGCTATTCGTAGAATCTAATCTGATTAAATCTGGCACTTCTGGTGAACTCTGTAACAAAAAGTAAAGAAGAAATTATATATACATTAGAGAAACATTAAATATTTTCAATGATATATATATACTCTTGTACATCAATCATGTAAGACATTAATGTAATGTATCTATAATTTGTATATTACAAAAATTTCACATATATATATATATTATATAAGTAAATATAAAATAATAGCAACAATGAACTATGATGTTTACCTTAGCTTGTGCAGAACAGGATGTAGTAGTACTTACAGGATGGATTGGTATGTCAGAATTAATAGATAAAGATGGATTTGTGGATTGAAACAATGGTTTTTGTAAATAGGATGGAATAAACACTTTACTTGTATCAAAAGGATCATCATCATCATCATCATTCTCAGTTTCTTGAAATGAATTAGTAGTAGTTAAAATACAATTATCACTTATATTATCATCTTGTTTTTTCAACGCCGAATCGATATTTGTAAAAATATTTGTATAATCAATTTTATTATTAACTTTAGATTGCAATTGTTGCGGCTGTTTAATGTCATTTTGTAAATAATTAGGAACATTAATAATAGCAGGAGTAATCCATTCGTTACATGTATGCAAATCACGTAAAAAATTCGATTGTTTTGATAATCCATGTACAGAGGATGAACTATGTATGAGACATGCTTCTGAATTAGTTTCATCAGAAGTCATTTTATTTGATTTATCAACAAACAATGTATCATTAATAAAAGGTTTCTTCATATTTATCTGTAATGCTTCGATTGAAGAATTACATTGATCAATTGTATCATTAATATTGGTGGATGTTGGTTGGATGTAAGATGATGTCATTTTTGGAGGGGATATTTCATGAGTGTTTCTGACAATTGTACGAGGTAGAGGGCCATGTCGTGAATGCCCACTCCATGCAGATCTCAAGCTGTCTAAACTTCGCACTGGCTTCAACTGAAAGGTGGTGCATGAGACACGTTTATTTGTAATGAATTATAAAAAAAATATCTATATATATTAAATGAAATTAAATATCAAAATTAAAATAAATATTCGTATCATTCATTTCTGTATATATATATATATATACATTTACAAGATAATTTCATGCAATTTATGCATGCAATTTAATTATAATGTGTTTCAATTAAAATGTGTCTTCATGTAACTCTCAGTAATAGCACGCATTTTTTTTTTTTTTTTGCAAAAACATGTAATACAAATTTTGAAGATCATGTCAAGGAATAATTGTGGTTGATTCAATGATAACATGTAATACATCACAATAGCACAATAAATTTGCAAACAAATATATGTATATATAAACATTTAACATTCACACAAAAGCACAAGAAATATTATTACAAAAATATATAATCTAAAGATTTAATTAATTTATATTTTAATTTTTATTGAAAAATAAATAAATAAATTGTCGAAATAAAATATAATTGATATATTAATGTTATGTACATGCATCATGCTATTACCTGTATTATTTTTCATTAAAATGTGTGTTCAAAATGATAGTGAATAATATATATGTATAATGTCTACGTTAAATTTAATAGTTCACAGTTTTTAAAGTTTTCATTAGACAAAAAAAACAACAAAATAATATTAAATAATAAATTACTTACAGTTCTATCCACAGGTGGTGTATTTGGATATATTACATCTCGAAGTTCATGCATAAGATCAATATTTATACGTTCTGGTGGTGGTTCTGATTCATCAGGAGAACTTGGACTTAATGGTGAGTATTGTTTTCTGTTAGGATAAATAAAGCACACATTTTTAATAAAAGTATAATAATAATATAATATGTTAGAAAAATATATTACATATTTTTGATTATAATTATTGATTTATTAAATGATAATCATCGTCATCGTATTACTAAACAAAACAAAACAAAATATAACGTTTACCTCGGATCTGTAAAATTGCTATTACGTAAACGTAATTCTTTTCTATAACTAGTTGTAGCAGTAAATCCATTGGGAGATTTAGGTGGTGCTGTAAATCCAATAGGATTTCTGTCTAATGTAGGTGAACTAGGCGCAGATCTTGGTTGATGAAATCTCATACTATTTTCACTTCTATTTGATCGTCCTATATCAACAAAAATATTTTTTAATAATTATTTAATAAAAATATAGAAATATATACAAACAACATATGTATAGAATAATATTCTTAATCATTATTTTTACAGATAGAATAAGAAATAAATAAATAAATAAATAAACACACCTTTCCACTTCAATCCTTTATATGCAGTTTTCATATCTTTCCCTCTATCTTTGACCTGTAATTAATTTTTAATACAAAATTATAAAAGAAAACAAAAAAAAAAAGAAACTAGAAATTTATACAAATATTTGTAAACGATTAGTTTTATTATTATTATTATTATTATTATTATTATTATTATTATTATTATTTCTTATAATTCTGTATACGAAATCATTTTTTTACACTTACAGATTTAACTGCATATTTTACTGCTGGATTTGCCTACGATTAAGTAAATTTTATTGGAATATTTACTTATCAATTAATAGAATAACCAAAAAAAAGAAAAACAAACAAACAAATTATAACAACAATTTATTTTTCAAACGACTTACTTTATCTTTCACGCTACGGAAAAATGCTGAGCTTTCTTTTCGCATGGTGTAAGTCCATTCTCTATATTGTTGCATAAATTTATTGCTAGATTTGACTGAATAACTGCATGCCTCCATTTCAAATTCATCGGAGAATCCAAGTCCTGAATTGAGCATATTTAATCTCTCTTCTATAAACTAAAACATAAATAATATTCTATTGTTTCATTCAATATATAAAATTATTAAAGAAAAATATATTATAAAAAATGTATTTTTTTGTTTTTTTGTTGTTTTTTTTTTTTAAACAATATATTGTTATACAATTAATATATTAAAATATAGAAATAATTGTGAAAAATTGTTATGATCCATCATTTGGAGATTTGTTAGTAAAAAACTTACAAGTTACACATACTTGTTGAAATATTTGAAGTTCTAACATTTTTCGTAGAAAAGGTTGCATGGAAGATGGTCTACTTTCTACAAATGCATTTTGATCAAACGTGATACGCTCTCCTTGTTGCAACGTTAATGCTTCTCTATATCCTGCAGTTAGTTGTACTAATGCTCGTAAAAATGCTCTAGATACTCCATCCCCAAGTAAGGCAGGTCTATTACGCAATGCTTTCTTTAAATTTGTTACCTGAAGTTAAAATACTTTTTATTTATTTTTAAAAAAATGAACTATAGTTCCTTCTCAATAAATTTATTATTTCAAATACATAAATAAGTATATTTATACATACTACATCTTGAGGTAAAGATTCCAAATCTTGAAAAGGTGACTCAATGGTGTTATTATCGGCATCTAAAATTACTACCTCACCTAAATCACTTTTATGAACTCTCTGAAATTCAACAACAACAACAACAACAACAAATTATGAAATATCTTTATTCAAACCTTTTGTTTTTTATATGAATTCAAAATATAATGTAATAATAATTACCTGAAGTGTTGGAGCAGGTACACCTATCAAAAATGGCATTGGTGCTAATAAATAATCCATTAAAGATAATGGAAGTACTGGGATATATATGTGTTGCCAAATCATTGGATAAATTAAAGCATTGCATGCTTGTACACATGCACTTAACCTTGATAAACGTTTGGAAGTAAAAATAATACGTCTTTCATATAACATAGACGCAAATACTACCATCATATTATGAGCATCTACAGCACTGTAATATTCTGTCAAATTTCTCTGTAAAATATATCAAATGCTATATAGCTTCTTCATTATATATATGCATTACATAAATATATTTGTAAATATTTTTCTAATTTATATTAATAAAATATATATACATATAATTACTCACATTTTCTGGAATACTAGGTAATTGAAATTGTTTAGGACTTTGGCAAACAAAATTCTATAAAAAATAAATATACAAAGTTTTAAACATTATTTATCAAATACAAAATTATTAACAATTAATATGAGAAATTTTAATATTATAAAACTTACAGTATTAAGACTTGGTATTGGTATAGATATTGAATTCCCAGGTATAGGTACACCACAGCTGTGTACCTTTTCAAGAAATTTACAAAGATCTTCTCCACTTCCATTATTTGTTAAAGATGCAATATGATTTAATAATCTAAGCAGATAAGAAAAACCATGTTATATTGAAAACTATTAAATGAATAAATATAAAAATGATTACAAGATGACACATAATATACATATACATATTTTGTATTTCTTCTAAATATAGATAAAATAATACTAACTTATAAAATGTTTCATGCCATGGCAATGCACTTAAGACCACTAATGCGGTCTCTGTTTTTGGATCATGCCGACAAAAACCAAAGGTCCATTTTGAATCTATACTAGTAAGCACAAATGAGAAGTGCTGCACCAGTAAACTAAGAACAATATAATAATAGCAATTAACATAGAGAATCGATATGTCACAAACACAGAAACATTATATATATATATATATATACATATGTATTTATACATTACTTTTCTATTTCACATGGATACGCAAATTTAGGGACTGACTTCAAGATTTCTTCATCTGAAAATGAACTTGGATATTTTTGAAGAATCCAAGCTTGTTTGTTGCTAACCGGTGCAGCAATTTCACAAAAACATTCAAATAACTGCTTAACGTCCTCCCTGAAAACATAACAAATACAATATATAAGATAATATTAAGATAAAATTAAAGATATTAGTTAAATAATGTCAATATTAATCAATTCATTTCTACCATCTGTCTGTAAACTATCTGACATGATGACACAATTTATACATTTTGAAAATAAAATTTGATTTATAACACTTGGTTTCATTGCATATAAATAAAAATAATATTAACTTTTTATAATGTTTGATTTTAATATAAAATTATTTATTATAGAAAGTATAAACGATCTCGACACATAGAAAAATATATATATATATATATGTATATACTATTTGTTCGTGTATGCATTATTGTAAATGATTAAATTCTCATTTATGATACTAAATTATTATTTAATGATAGAATAATGTAAATAATAAAAATCTTTAAATTACCTTAATCTGGATCCCATGATAATAGTCAAAAAAAAGTAAGTACTTAATATATTCCTGACGTTTATACGTCATTGTACTACATGACAGTAATGAATTCCATTCACGTGAACTTTTTATCACTATCACAAATGCAGTTCACTATCAGCTTGTCACTATTTACACAGATACTTTTTTGATTAATCATAAGTAGCGTTGAAACTGTAACTGTATGTATATATATATATATATTAATATGTACATAAAATATATCCTGTTTCGAACACGTAGAATATTCGACTATTAAAATGTTTTATAAATAATTGTTAAAAATTCAATAAAATATAATATTCCTTTTCATTTTTTTCTTCCTTGGTATTAAGATGCAATAGAGAAGGAATATGCTACGAGTTTTCTACAGCTGTGTTCTGTAGATTTTTTTAATATATACTGTATATATAAAAATATATGTAATGAAAGTTCAACGAGCGCAAGTAGAACATCAGTAACAGGATGCGTCATCTATTTAAACCAATGAAATGTGAGTAAAATATTCTTGACACTAATCGCATTTTAATGATTTACTTTAAAATTTCATTTAAATGATTAGATTCATATCGAATGAAAATTTATTTAAAAAAAATGAAAATAGTATTTCAAAATCTCAATTGTTATAAATAATTATTTTGATCTACCATTTTAAATTTTTAACCAATCAGACGTCTGTAAATCTATAATCAATCAAACCTCTGTAAGATTCAACCAATCAGACATCTATAAATCTCTTCTAAAAATACGATGCACAAAGGCGCGTAAATTTAAAACAAGAATAAAATACAATGAATGTTCATTTATTGAAAATTTAATTATTTTTATGTATTTTATTTTGTTATTTGAAAATTGTTCTTTTTTTTTTCTTAATGATAAGTTTGTTCGTTTTTTTCCTACCAGAGTGCGTTTCATATCCTTATATTTAGTAAATGCAACGAAACCTTGACACATCACTATCTATATTTTGTATTTTATGCATTTAGATAGTTTTGGTCGTTTGCCAGACAGTTTAACCTGCAGCTAATAGTCAATTTTAAACTTCCTAATAATATTTAAAATATAAATTAATAACATTATAAATTCACAATGGTAATTACACATAATTTATATTAATATATTTACAATTGATTTACTATATACAAATGCACAAATATATCTATCATTTTTTTATATGAACTTCTTCAATTTGAACTTCATAGAAAAAAAGAATATAATATTTATAAAAATACCATTACGATATATATATATATATATATATATATATATATATATATGTATATATATTTGCAATAATATTTCATTGCACTTTAAATACATATACTAGTTAAACTTGAATTATGTATTTTTATAGGGTAACGAAAGTTCTCTACCTATGGAACTGTGCTCAAACTGTAAGTCAATAATTTAACTTCAATATTAATGTTTATATTTTATATTAATATTCTAATGATTGATGCTTTTACTTTTACAATTGAAAATACATAAAAAGTTTTAATTATTAATATATGATATATATTTGATTAAATATTACATTTTCCTTTTTTTTAGAAATGACTTGCATTATTGTAAATATTCATTAAAATAAAATTTAGTACAAATGTGAGAATACAAAAAAAAAAAAAAAGAAATAACATATTTTATTTTGAAATCATATCTAATATGCATTTAATTATAATTGATAGTTGTATATCAAATGTATAAGTTTATTTTAATAGAGTAGAATAGAAAATATTGAATTTAATGTTATATTCTTATGAAATATGCTTGTGTGTGATGACTTAGTCGATGTGGACGAAATTAGAAGATTGGGAAAACGTTTTCGGAAGCTAGATTTAGACAACAGTGGGGCATTAAGTATCGATGAGTTTATGTCATTACCTGAATTACAACAAAATCCTTTAGTTCAACGTGTCATCGATATTTTTGATGCTGATGGAAATGGTGAGGTGGATTTCAAAGAATTTATTCATGGTGTATCACAATTTAGCGTTAAGGTTAGCATTTGTTTACTTTATTCTTTGATATCACCTTGGGTATGTGTATATATATATATATATATATATATATATATATAT